CTGGCATGGTGGCATCTGGATACTGGCCATCAATCGGTGGTGGACACTTGTCGAGGACAGGAGCGGTGTTTGCCGAAGAATTCGGGGGACAAATCTAGGAGGGACTTTCAAAAATCTAATAACTCATACGTCAGTTCCAATCATAACTGTTTTTCCTCTAGATACAACACAATAATTATCTACCTAAAAATTCTTGATTAAAAATATGGTTCCTTGAAGAAAAAAAATATAAAATTTTTTTAGTTTTTAAATTAAGAACTGCTCTTATAAGCCACATATTTCTTACATATTTTTAAGTGTTTCAAATAATTTAGTTGTTTAATTCAATCAAATACAAATAAGTATTTTCTAGAATCTGTTGAACTTTTATAAGTGTTCTGTAGTATTTGTATTCTTGTCTTACAATCTTGTAAAGCCTATTCATTTTTCTTTTTAGGAAACCCCTTTGAAGGACGCCCCTGCCTGCCACATATGAGTTTAGATCATCAAGGCCACACCCACATCAGTTTGCGATGCGCGTTTATTTAGTAATTTGTTTGTCTCCCGACTTAGTCATGGTTTATGGTTGACATTTATTTTATGAGCGTGAAAAATATATCACTCGGCAACCACCCCCATTGGGATTGGGATCTGGATTGGGATTGGGACTGCAGGGTTCCAGGCAGGTGGCTGCACCACTCACCACCCACCGCCCACTGTCCACCGCACCACCCACTCCGGCATGCACCACTTAAGCCAATTTTGATAGCGGTTTATTGATGGTCGAGCGATGGGCGATTTGTGCGTTAGTCTCGCTCGAGTTTGCTGATTGAATCAGTGCGAATGTGGATGTGGATGTGAATGAGGACAAGGACGAGATCGATGGCCAGGACAATAGTCTGCATCCTTATCCAGATGAGTCATGAGATCAGCACTGGGAAACTTAAATGCATTTGTAAAGCATTTGCCATAATATATCTTTAGCTTACAAGATGTTCTATATAGTTGACTCCATTGTGTTTGTACTATTAAGCTAAAACTATTTCGAATATAATGACTAATGTCTTAAATAATAAATTTTAGTGGTATGATTAATCATAAGCTAAATTTGTTAAAAATCACAAACAAACTTTCAATGGCATATTTAAATCAACTTTCAGACATTATTGTGAAAACCCATAGATTAGATAGACTTGTGCTGTTTAAGGAATATTTTTGGTATCCTTAGTTTTTAGTTCTCTACGATCTGAATTAAAATGACCATATTTCTCTCCGTGTGGCACTTCCGTTAGCGAGTATTGTTTACCGCTTCTAAGCGCATCAATTATGCCGGCAGGCTTCTTACAAACTTATTGGCCTATAAACTAATCGCATAATTGCACAAAAGTAATTATCCTTGGGCTGAGCCTCGGCTAGCTCATTGTGCAGCAACTATGCGGCACAGATTTCCTTGGTCCCGGCCGCATATCCTATATCCTGCATCCTAAGCACTTAGTCTTTAGTTCTTAGTCCTTAGTCCTCAGACCTTATCCCCTGGCGCTCTGATTTTTCCACCTTGCTGGCCAACTATGCGGCTCATCCGCTCCGCTGCACGCCGCCAGAAGGAAGTGCCGAATGCAGAATGCAGAATGCCGAATACAAAATACAGAACACAGAGCACAGGACGCAGGACTCAAAACGCTGGCAAAACAGTTGGAAAAACACAACAAGCCGAACAACAAAAACAAACACAAGGACAGGCCTTTGTTTACTGAAAGCGAATAGGAGGTAAAATTAAAATCAAGCTGTTGATAGCAATCACACACTCGAGGCTGCTCGAAATGGATGAGAATGCACAGCGAAATATTTTACAGCACTGTATTTTCATTCGACAAAAAAAATACAATATATTACTTTGTAAATTATATAACAAATATTTATATAATGTCAATTTCAAGTAGAAAATATAATTTTGTAGGATTATGTTGTATTATATAAAAATTATAAAATTGAAAAATATTTATTTAAAGTTCAACACAAATAGATATCGTTAGAAATGATAAGATTCCTGAATAATGTAATTATGTATGAAGTATGAAATTGATTTCAAAAGAAGATCGCATTGCCTCCAAATATTCCATGGTCCAATTACTCTCTGTATACATGTCCTGGCTATCCTTTCTACAATTCCGATGGCGATGCATCACTAGTCGTCACACGGCCAACTGCCTTAACTTCCGGCTCTCGGGTTCAGAATCAGCGAATCTGCGACTGTCATTCATCATTCCTCTCACTGGAAGCTAGTCATTTCTTCGGCTCCCGAATCTCCAACTCCATCTGCATTCTCATCCACATTTCCATCTCCATCGCCGGCTCTTCATCTGCATTTCGTAGGGTAAAAAAAGTAAAGCAGTTAGGGTTGACATCCTGAAGTGGCCCAGTGGCTTTGTGGGCACTAATTAAGTTGAATCTGCACTGCAGATCTCCGATAAGCAAGGATAAAGGATCAGGATACGGCCACGTCGGTTAGGGATAATCCTCAGGGATTGAAAGGACAGGCAGTAACCCTCGATCTTTTGTGCCTTTGAACATCAATCGGGGCAATTGGATTGACATTTTCAGATCGCAGGATTATTATTTGGCAACTACTGTTACACGGATCGACATCTTTATAATTGTGATCCTATGGTTATTGCTTTGTAGAAGATCTCTTAATTAGAAAACAACATTTTCTTTTATTATTTATCTAATTCATAAATATTTTAGGGGGTTACGTCACGGCTACATTGTAATGAAATGATTATAATTACGATCAAGCATTTATTGAAGCTTGATAATATAATTTTGAAGATTGAAATATTTGTATATCAAAATAAACATTGCAAACTCACAAGTTATGTTTATTGAAACATAAATTTATTTTAATAGTTATAAAGCTTTTTGTAAAAGTGTGTAAAGGGGTTCTTAAGCGATTACCATTTAATATGTACTATCAAGTCTAATGCCTTTTAAATAATACCTAAGGATTAAAGTCTTAGCCCTGAGAACATTTTCTCTATAGCCGTTATTTCCGAAGTTCTTACACTCAAATCGAAAGAGATAATCATCGGATTTTGCTCCTGAGCTACTCATTAAAATGATCTCATGAAGCTCAGCCATTAGTGATCGATATTTGCTGCAAGAACGGTAAAGATCAGCAATGAAGATCACTTCACCTCACTTTCCCCCGTTTGCGTCACCATTGCTCGACTCTCGGCTTTTGTGGCCAATTAGCTGCTGCCGCAAAATGAAATCATTTCTCACAGCTATTGCTGGCCGGGCAGAAGTAATTAATTGCCAATGGATTCGGTGGAGAGTAATTTCCCCCCAAATGCAATCCCCCTGTTGAGTGATTCTCCAAACGGACAGCCAATCGAAGCGAGTGCGAGACTGAAGACTGAAGAATCAGGCGGAAGACTGGGCCAGAAGACTGCGCCAGAAGACTGAGTCTGCAACCGAGAGAGCCGCATACTTTCCAAGGCAATTATCGAATGCCAGCGTGTCAGCCCCGACTCCCGACTCCCAACTCCCGATTCCCCGCCCCCCGATTCCCTACTCCCGATTCCCCCGATTTTCCGATTCTCCGGCTCCCCCGATCTCCAGATCCCCAGATCTCGCCGGTCCTCGGAGATTCTACCGCTTTGGAGTCGCCAGGGCGTCGCCGGTTGGCAGAAGCGGGACTTTCGGCCCGTCTGCAGTTCAGTTTTTCAGTTTTCAGTTTCCCTGACGCCAACAACGCCTCATCGTGTTTGTTTGGCCGCCAGAGCCGTCAGAGCCGCCACCGCGGAGACGCCAGCGAAGGCACCACCACCGCAAGCACCACCAATGGCACCACTACCACCACACGGTGGTGGTCTCTCCGGTCCAATAGTGATGACCGTTTGGCCTTTTTCCGGGGAGATCTAATTAAGGTTATTAAAAAGATCCATGGATATTTACTAAACCACCCATAGAAAAAGTTGAATAATAACCAATTTTTTACATATACCAAAGAGTAATACATTAATATGTAATCATGTGGATTTAAGATTAAAAGTCTCACCTGTTATAAAAACTAATGTCAGAAGTAAATTAGTTTAGTTTAGTTCTCATATAAAACATTAACAATATATTTCAATTGAGCTTATTTTATATAATATAAATATAAAGATACATAAATGGTATGCTTGTGCTGGATAAAAACTGAGTAACTTAACATTTTTTAAAGTTTGAATTATAAAAGCTTTATTTGATGATTGAAGTTAGCAGAATAGCAGATTAAATTTGTATATTTTTTTCCAGTTAGTTATCCTTTTTTTCCAGATGGATCCTTGTCATCTCTGGCTGACTAAATGGATCTACGCAACTGCAGCTCTTGCGTTGCCCCAAATTGGCCTTGAGGCAATGATTGGCTGCCGCTGCTGCCCAGATGCCAGCACCACCTCCCCCTGGTGCACCACCCCCCTTGAAGCCCCTGGAAGCCCCTTTAAAACCCCCCTCCCCCACACACACTGATCTCAGCTGTCGTCGCTTGTTAGTGCGCACGCGTGTCTTTCTCCCTCTAAAAAGCAGCAGCGTGTGTGTTCCCCTCTCTTTCGCACCGACCGGCCCCCCTTCCGCCGTCCCCCTCTCTCGCCATCTCGCTCGCTCCTCTGGCCCTCCCGCTCGCACTCGCTGGGATCGTGAGGCGTTGATGGCGATGGCGCTGAAGCTGGCGCGCATGCGCAACGCAACCACAAAATCGCAATTGCCGGGGCCAAAAACCAAAAAAAAAAAAACAAAAAAAGAGGAAAATAAAAAGGCAACAAAAAACACAACGTTGTAAGACATAGTTTGTTGCCAGCCCCCCGCCACGCCCCCCTACGCCCCTGCGCTTGTGTGTGCGGACCTCCCGCAGATAATTGCCCATCATCTCATCAAGTTCCGCCCAGCTATTTAACAACGGAGGATCGGATCGGTTCGGTTCGGTTTGGCTCGGATCGGGGGCCTCGAGAGCAATGAAACCCACAAAACAAGACACCAAAATGATGAACGCGACCACGCAAAGTAGAAGTAGCTGCCCGATCTGGGAGTCGAGGACGGAAAACGGAGGACGGAGCTTGGAGTCTGGCTCCAGACTATACGATCTTGAGCCCTCGCCATCGAGGGGGGATCCACGAGTTGGAGGTACCCTGCAGCTGAGCACCTGCCCTGGGATCCCACTTAAAAACTTAGAAGATTAGAATATATAATCACTTTGGCTAACGATAATATGTTGCATATACTCAAGAAATCATAACAATATCCAGTAGTTACCTTGATATAATTGTTATAATTTGAGACTTCATATTAATAAGACTTAATTCAATTAAAAACCATTTGGGTTTTTTAAAAAGTCCTCCTTTTATGTGTATTTAATAAACATACATAAATTTTAAATGAGCGTTCTTAAACAAGGATCTAATCAATTTACAAATACTTTAAAAATGTAATATATTCTACAAAACCTTTTTAATTTTTAGGCGATTTAAAAAGCACCTGAACCCATGTGAAAAACAGTATGTATAAATTCTGGAAATAAATGTTTATTAATCCATTGTAAAGCTATACATACAAATATTTATCCCTAAAGCTTATCTATATATTTTGTTTAAAGAATAAATATTCATATATTATAAAAACAAACTTAAATATTTTTTGTGGCAGTTGTTGTCTAGTGCTTTGGAAGCTCCTATAGTTCCAGGAACTTCTCGATCGGCCTTGGTCTGGCGCCACCAACATTCAGCAGCAGCTTGGGGCGGCTGCTGCAGATCGGCTCCAAGTCGCACAGGTCCAGGCTGCAGCTCCAACCACCGGCATCAATAGCACCACCGACGACGATGACCAAGACCAAGACCAAGACGAAGACGAGGACGATCCAAGCACGTTAATCGAGTCATATCGATTTTGGCGTGGTTCGTGTCTCGGACGTTTTACCCAACCACCGCCCCCCTCCAAAAAGGGGGAGTGGCAGGAGAAGGAGAAGGGGGAGGGGGGAGGAGGAGGGGCCGATCCCATCAGTGGACTCGTAACTAAATTGAATCCAATTGCAAACGAGCCGGTCCAAATAACTGTGAGACATAATGAATGAGTGTTGGCCAAATTGCAACTTGGCTTGCCAGCCGACCAGTTAAGGGTTAATGGGTGGGCGCCACAGGGGCTTAGGGGGCTCCAGGGGGCCGAGGGGGCTAGGGGGGCTAAGGGGACCCAGGGGGTGGTGCCCCGAATCACCGACTTGATGGCAGTGCCACTAATATCTCAATTGGCCAGCGGAAGGTTCAATAAACTGCGCAGGGCCACCCACCTGAAGGCATTTGCAGTGCCACCTGCCGTCGTTGGAGCTCCTGTTTCGGAGGCTTCTCCTTCTCCTTGTCCTGTGGTGATTTCTAGGAAATAAAAAGAAAAGCATTTAAGGCCAATGAATAAATCTCCGCCTAAAAATTGAATCTTATGTTGATTTCATCGAGACTTTGGTCATCAAAACAATGTACATAGAAGGGCTTTTTTGTTCTAACAAGGTCATAATACCACCCACAGCCAAAAGAATGACTGACTTGAGCAACTGTGGACCTGCACTTTCCATTTCAGGTTGATTTGGACAATATTATTTTTTTTACCGATTTTCGCATTTTTCATAAGGGGTAACACTTGATTTTTTTTCGAAATTTGGGCCGAAATAAAATTTTTAAGTTTAGAATACCAATCGATTGAAAATTTTATAACGAATTCAACGAGGTATGACATTCCAAGATCTGACCATTATTTCCAAGGATTTTGATTTTTTTTTTATTTTGGCCATCAAAAACATATATTTAAGACACATTTTCTAAGCGTTTTTTGTTGTAACTTTGTCTAAATAAGGCGCACAGCCAAAAGAATGACTGTTTTGTGCAGCTGAGAGCCTATACAATGAATTCCAGAAGGAATTGGGAAATTTTATTTTTTGACCGATTTTCGCATTTTTTATAAGGGGTAACACTTGATTTTTTTTGAAAATTGGGCCAAAATAAATTTTTTTAGCTGACAATACCATTGGATTGGAAATTTTGTAACGAATACAACGAGGTATGACATTCTAAAATCTGACCATTATATCCAAGGGTTTTTGATAAAAAATCCGAAAATCGAATGAATTTTTTTGGATTTTGGTCAAAATATGTTTCATTTTCATGATTTTTTACAAATGACATTCATTCCGTTTATATGTTAGGGGAATATGTTATAGCTGCTCGTGCGTTTTTCTTTTGGACCGCTGTGAGCTATGTTTTTCTTTCTGTGTAACTGCTGCTGCTCCACTTTTCGAAGCTGACAAGGCAAACAGGCCCAAGGCATTGGCTAGCCCGAAAAACTTCTAATTGAAGGCAAACATGTGCCGGCCCCTGGCCAAAAGGGGATCTCGTCCAGTGGACCAGTGGTGCAGTGTTCCAGGATGTCCAGGAGGTCCCTTAGGGCAACGCCACCTAGCGGGCGGCCTACAATGATGGCTCCTTTGCTGTGCATATTGTATTCCCCATTAGAGGGGAGCGACTGTCAAACTTGCAGCCATGTCATGTTTGTCATGTTGCTGTGGCTCCACCGTTTTACCCCTCCCCATCCCCCTGCCCCCTGATCCTGCACCACCACCCCATCCTGCATCCTTTCAGCCTTCGTCCTGTTGTGTCTTCCACTTGATTTTCACTGCTGCTGTTTGCTCTCCCTCAAAATTCTGTGTCGCTGCCTAATGGGCGCACTTGTCCGAATTGGCAGGGGGTGGGGTGGTTAAAGGGGGGCTTAAAGGGGGGTTTTAAGGAGGGGTGGCTGGGTGGTGTTGGTGACATCTTGTGCTTCTTCTTCGTGGAGCAGCACTTGACCTGGTTCCTTTATTTTTTTCGACTACGAGCTATGGCTACGTGTGGCACAAAGCTAATTGCCTGGCTGCCAGGAGAATATCCCAGCCACCATTCCCCCCCCTCCAAGCACCACTTCAACAGCCGCCCCTTAAAAGCCCCGCCCACTTCGAAGTGCACCTGATTGTGTCACACATTCGAGCTGAGGCTCTCAAAATATTTTCCACTTCGTTTGCTACCAGCGCAGATGCCATAAACTTTTCAACAAACAAAGATAAGAAGTCAGTTTTTATACCCTTGCAGAGGGTATTATAATTTTGGTCAAAAGTGTGCAACGCAGTGAAGGAGACATCTCCGACCCTATAAAGTATATATATTCTTGATCAGGATCACCTCCTGAGTTGATATAGCCATGTCCGTCTGTCCGTCTGTCCGTCTGTCCGTCTGTCCGTCTGTCCGTCTGTCCGTCTGTCCGTCTGTCCGTCTGTCTGTCCGTCTGTCTGTTTCTACGCGAACTAGTCTCTCAGTTTTAAAGATATCGAATTGAAACTTTGCACACACCCTTCTTTCCTTTGCACGCAGTATATAAGTCGGAACGGCCGGGATCGGCCGACTATATCCTATAGCTGCCATATAACTGATTGATCGGAAATGCCATAACTCTGCTGTTTGTTAGGTTAGGAAGTTGGGACTTTCTATGGGTTTTATATTTGGCCAATCAATCCGACGTACCAAATTTCATAAGGATCGGCCGACTATATCTTATAGCTGCCATATAACTGATTGATCGGAAATGCCATAACTTTGGTGTTTGTAAAGTTAGGAAGTTGGGATTTTCTATGGGTTTTATATTTGGCCAATCAATCCGACGTACCAAATTTCATAAGGATCGGCCGACTATATCTTATAGCTGCCATATAACTGATTGATCGGAAATGCCATAACTTTGGTGTTTGTAAAGTTAGGAAGTTGGGATTTTCTATGGGTTTTATATTTGGCCAATCAATCAGACGTACCAAATTTCATAAGGATCGGCCGACTATATCTTATAGCTGCCATATAACTGATTGATCGGAAATGCCATAACTTTGGTGTTTGTTAAGTTAGGAAGTTGGGATTTTCTATGGGTTTTATTTTTGCCTAATCAATCCGACATATCAAATTTCATAAGGATCGGCCGACTATATTCTATATCTGCCATATAACTGAACGATTGGAAATGCCATAACTTTGGTGTTTTTAAAGTTAGGAAGTTGGGATTTTTTATGAGTATTAAGAATGCATTATGAATGATTTTGGAGAATATAATTTGCAGAATATTCTGCAAGGGTATTTCAACTTCGGCTCCGCCCGAAGTTAGCTTTCCTTTCTTGTTTTTTATGTTTTAGTTAAAGTCAACTAAAGGAAATTAAAAAGTTATGGTATATAAAATTACACAAACAAAACTATTTAGTATAAATAAAGAAGAGTATTTTGACAAATTCAATGGGATATCATAACTCTTAGGTTTATTGTATAAATAAAACCAGAAGATAGTTTGAATTATATGTATATATCACCTAATCATAGTTTCAATCAGAGAAGTTCTTTTATTCATTTTCCATGTCAACATTATACCTAATTAAATATATTTATCTTTAATTTTTTCGTTTTAAAATTTATTAAATAGAATGCAACCAGAACTGTGAGTAGCCCAGCATATCTACAGTTTTAGAAGCACTGATCAAGTCTTGATCTCGTGAGAAATCCGCCAATAGTTGAGGCTGCACTGAGCCACTCAGAATAATAATAATAATAATAATAATAATCGCGCTGCTCGCCAAATATAATAAATTGCCAAGAAGCGAAGGAGGTGCGGGGGACTCACAAAAATGAAATGTGGCATAATGAAAACAAGAAATATGCCGACAGTTTTTTGTTTTTGGTTTTTGAGAAGGTATGCAGACCCCAAGCGTTGGATCCCAGGGACCACCGCCTAGGTTTTTGGACCCCCCCACCTGCCGCCCCTGTTCATAATGCTGCTGTGGCGGCTTTTTGATTTACTGAGCTTGCCAGTGCGACCACACAGAGCAAAACTATTAATGGCAATGAATTGTTTATAAAACAAGAGAGAACGCTATAGTCGAGTGCCCCGACTATCAGATACCCGTTACTCAGGTAAAGGGAGTGCGAGGGAGATGGAGACAGAAACTTTGATCACGCATAACTTTTTAACGAATGGTCCGATTTGAAAAATTTCTTCTACATTTCGATAGGTATTGATAAACACAATAAAACTGCATTTTTACTTTTCCGAAATATTTAAATTTTTAAAATCGTATATAAGCTATTGTGGGCGTTAAAGAGGGCGTGGCACCTTTTTGAAACAAACTTGCGCTGCGTAGGAACTCCTAGAATCTGCATGCAAAATGCCAATCTTCTAGCTTTTATAGTTTCCGAGATCTCAGCGTTCATACGGACAGACAGACAGACAGACAGACGGACAGACAGACGGACAGACAGACGGACAGACGGACAGACGGACAGACGGACATGGCTATATCGACTCGGCTAGTGACCCTGATCAAGAATATATATACTTTATAGGGTCGGAAACGCTTCCTTCTAGCTGTTACATACTTTTGCACGAATACAATATACCCTTTTACTCTACGAGTAACGGGTATAATTATTTGATAAATTCATAATTTAGAAAAAAGTCTTCTCGGGGATTTTACTTCAACAAAATAATGAATTAAATTTAAAAATAATATTATTTTTTGATATCATTCGAAATACATTCAAAAAATTAAATTCCAAGAAAACTTTATGCTTCATAGAAGCATAAATATGCTTAAACAGTATCTAATATTAATTTAATGAAATAAGTGTTAAAATCACTATCCATATAATATTTGCAATGACTGACGATCAAATTGATTCCTTGCATTTTATACACATATCCTGGGTAAGACGGCCCCTTTTCTCGCAGTGCCCTTCTCAACAAAATGAGGATGAAGGCGGCAAGTGCCGCCACACACACACTCTCGCAAATAGCCCAGATATATGGTTGAAGTAAATATATC